ATCTAAAACGATTTTTAGTCTTTGACTAACTTAAATTTCTAATAGGTTTTAAGCAAGTGAAAGAGCTTTTTACAACAAACCCGACTTAGGTGTCAAACTCTCTAAAGAAGAGATCTGCTTATACAATCTCGAGCCCTTTAGTGGCCTTGTGGCTTTAATGATCTTGAACCACTGACTCATTGGCTCACATGAATTGTCCTTACTCAGACACTTGCAAGCATTAGCCACGACATTGTTAGTTGCGTCCACGTCAAGGCAAATAGAACTCTTGTTACTTGTCGTCGAAGCTAAGTGCATCCTAGAGGCCGAGATGGTCTGCCATTTTGAATCGGGTCTCGAGCAACTTGTCCGAGTCATCGTAACCCTGTTTTTGGGTCCGTTGCTCTGTAAACACAAAGGCTGGTCTTTGATTCTTAAGGTTTTCTTAGTGTAGCTCCATGGTTCGGAACTATTGCACGGACCAAGAGTGAGCAGTGTTGTGTCACTAAGAGATCGTAGTAGGCAAAGTCCGGTTAAGGGATGGAGAACCAGATTGTAAGCATCAGTTCGAGGGCCCGGTCCTAGTAAACCAAATCAATTAAAAAGTGAAATTTTAACATCAAATAATGTTATAGCAAAATAACATTTAGTAATTTTTTTGCAATCTGTGTACCTTGAAGTGAAGATTGAAGAAGAGAGATCTTTTGCAAAAAACTTGAATTTCGAACACTAGTCCAATTCGAATCCAACGCACCATAATACTCATTCATCCCGACCACGCCTTGTCTTAAGTAATAGCTTCCGGTAAGCGCCCATAGCGACCAATCGACGTCGTTTTCAGCGGCCCAACCGCTTAAACATCCAAAATAGCGGTCGTCATTCGCGCTTCGTCCTCTTTCGTCTATACCAAACTCGCTGAGGAACAACGGAAAGCCTTTGTTAAGGAGAAAACCGCCACCGTTTCCAATCCGGTTTAGAACTCGACCGCATAGATCGTTAGGGTTATTGCTTGCCCACGAGTTTCCGTCTGAGAAAGCATACCAATGGAGCTCGAAGACAAGTTTTCCGGTGAAAGATAGATTAACCTGTCGCGACCTAACGAAGGAGAGATCGGAGTCAAAGCTGAGACCGGAGAGGATTACAAGTACGTTCTTGTTTGCTGAATGAACTGCTTCAGCTCCTTGTTGCATATACCTACG